CTGAAAGGATAAATAAGAAAAATGAAACTATTTAAGTTATTGGAGATATAATATGTAAAAGTCAAAATTTAGTGTTTTTGTTTTTACTGGTGAAAGAGGATACACAAGTTTCTTTATATTTGCTTTTCGTGATTTATAGACAAAATTTCGTTTGTTGAATGCTAACTACACACATTTAATGGAAAGTAACTAAGTTTATAAAAAAAAACTACAGAAAATCAAAAAAAGGTAATCAAAGGAGCCTGCATAAATCGAAGCTAAGTTTCTTTTCCATACAGAAATGTCAGAAATACAGACTTTTCTTCAGAGCTACCGTCATAACAATTGATCAGCACCATCCGAGGAACCTGTTCTCCATGGTTTGATTCATTTTAATTTTTTGTTCTTTAAACATGTTAAAAAACAAACAAAACGTGATTTTTCATAGGGTTTTGATAAAAACCTTAACCTTAACCAACATTGTAATAGAGATTTCCAATAAAATGACATATGATTGATTGATTGATTGTTGGTTGCTTAACGTCCAGTGGCAAATATTTCATGCATATTCAGGACGAGAACAAGTTAACAATAAATACAATAGGTAGGTTCTGAAATAGGGGCTTCCGGGATTAAGGTCGGAAAAATTTAGACTGCCACTGGAAATGAGGGTATATTGGATAGGGACAGAAATTTAGCCTTGCAACAGGTCACCTACGGACCCCTCAAAGAGTTGTTGCAAGGGTTCTTAACGTGCAAAGAGCGTGGCAATCTCTTTACACGAGGCATCGGATTAAACGTCCCCATTCTGACCGGACTAAAAATGACATATGTACGTAACTCGATGTACGAACCTAATGGGACTGGTTATTGCCAACCATTGAATTTGATTAAATACGTTGCTCAAGTTTAAACAAAGTATTCCAAGACTTTTAAACTTACACACTGGAATATTAGTCCATATAAAATAATTTATCATGACGTTAAAAAAAATCCCTATATATGTTGTTTTTTAGAATTAAGGTGTGTTCGATAAGGGATTGTTCTGTATTTATTTGTTTAACGGGATTGCTATCGGAGTCCAAACACAAAAGACATTTCCAGGCAACTTTTTTTTTATATCCCTTGAAGTAAATTAACTTATAGTATTTTATCCATTTTATTGATAAACAATTAAAAGGGGGTCACCGAATTCCTTTTACTAAATAAATCATTAACGGAAATGTGTAAGGTAAGTAACATTGAACAACATAATATAAGATTTCGTTGCCAGATGCGGATCCAGGATTTTGAAAAGGGGGATATAGGCAACGTAAGAAGTGGAACAAAAAATAGAAGTATTAATAGGATGTAGGGCCATATATATATTAAGTGTTCGTTGCATATGTATTTTACATATGCATATTTAGGACGAGAAGATGAATATGAACCAGACTTCGTATTATACCACAAGAAGACATGTCATCCTACCCGAACACATGATTTTGACCCCGGACCGATCAATCTTTGCTCTAATTCTTAATATTGCGTGCTTGGCAGAGAAGCAGCCAATCTTCGATTTGAAACGGGCGAGGATCGAGCCCAAGACTTCCGGCAGCACTCGAGCAGTGGTGTAGCTTTCATTGACGCAATGAGGCAACCGACTCACCAAATTTTGACCATTAAAAAGATAGATAAAGAGAATTATATATACAATGTACGTCATAATATAAAGTATACTGAGTGACGACGGTTCAAAACGTTGACTGCTTTACTCTTTACTCACTCATTCCTCATTATTAACGTCTTAAAAACTTTCTTTCATAAAATGAATAAGGTAGATGCAAATATCTTTTTTAAGAAACAGACAAAGTATACCTCGCAAATAACTGATTCAAACAAGAGGTCATAACTGTGAAGCTGATATGATGCTTGATTTTTTTTGACAACGAACTTGTTACTTTTGGGGTACAAAGTTTTCTACTGACACTTGGCACTTTCTAGTACTCTTCTACGTTGGTTAATATAAGCAAGACTTCATAGTTCACCCAGTTAGTATCCTCCATACATACTTTTTAACAAAAGCTAAACGTATAAATTAAAAGACATAGTGGATCTCAAACTTAATATCCCCAAATCTGTCCAAAAGCATTTTAGAGGAGGGCATACATATAATTCTGTCAATCATTTTTGTTTTGATCAGGACCTGTCTGTAACTGAATACTGAGAATTAAACCTTTAACCAGCAGTTTCATTGAAATATATTGTTTAAATGCGCACTAGAAATATTATTTCATAATAAAATTCCCCAAATCTGGATTTTCATAGACAGGATCTGTTTGCCAGTGTGTGACCTATCAAGAGTATGATCACCTACACCTATTTTACGATTCATTTTTTAAATTAACCGTCCACTCCCAATTGCCATTGACGTCTTTCAACCAAGGTGAGGACTGCCAAGACCAGAAATAAAATTCAAGTTACGCTACTGTCGATTGATAGATAGTTGGTTGCTTAACGTCCAGTGGCAAATATTTCATGCATAATTAACGTGTAGAGAGCGTGGCATTCTCTCTACAAGAGGCATTGGATTTAACGTCCCCACTCTGACCGAACGGGACTGCGTACTTGTACACCCCGCACAACAAACGGACTCCCCACTTTGGCAATGGTTTAACTGTCGATCGGAACAAGACCATATTTCTATCCCCCCGACCACCTTTGAGGGGTTACTGTCGAGGCGAGCGCGCGACCTTATGAATATGAAAGATACATATACATATACATTTGCAACAAGAATGTGTGGCCTTAAGACACCGTGCCCCTTCACATGATCATATTCCCATGTTCAGTGCACCACTTAATCCGGGTCAAACTCTAATTTGGTATATAATTTTAAACGTTTTATATTTTGAACAGAACGGAAGAATGGACGGATGCACAGACCAGTAAATATAATATCCCCTTGCTATCATAAGTTGGTCATAAAACTAAAATGAACATCCTACTTAACAAAACTTCAATCAAATATTCCTTACATGTCCGTTTTTCATACATATTTGTATAAGTTAAACGCAAAACATTTTAGAAAAACAATTTAAGAGCAATGACGTTAAATTACGCATACGTTTGTACGGGCTCTTCATAGAATCCATGCATCATTATAATTAAAGACAAGGTATAAACAAATTTACTGATTCAGTAAAGTGTAATCATATTTTTTCTTGAAGATGCGTCCTCATAAATTCCATTTGATAAAATTCTACGGAAAGGTGACAAAGTACTATCAGAAAGATGCATCAGTGATCTGAATTTTTTACCTTTGACAAAAGTATCTTGAAATAAATTATAGAAGTATGAAAAAAAAAGTAGTGTACACCTTTTACATTCCGGTGTGTTTGAAACTCTTGTTTTAATCTTATAACTTTTAAATCAAAAATGAGAATATGATCTCGTTTCGTTTTCCGTTATTTTTATTTTTTCAAACTTAATTTTGATTAAGTAGCTTTAAGAATTCATCGTTTGAGAGATAAATATACGGGTCAAGTGAAATGACGAAGTAATGATCGGTGCATTTGATTACCGGTAACTGAATTAATTATTCCCTTTAAAGGTTGTTTTAATGAAATCATCCCAAATTTAATAACAAATATGCAAAGAATTAAAATAGTAGTTTGTGCTAATTTTAAAATAGCATCTATTCCAACAAAGTATGTGTATTCAACGAGCCAAAAATTCATGCAGTCTTTACTCCCCCCCTCCGTCATCCTTCAATGCAATAGGCCGGTAATGTCATTTTATTGGAAATCTCTTATAAGACATAAAGCCTCGTGATGTTTATACATTGAAAATAATACATGTAGCAAATTCCAATCTATGACTAAAAAAAAATCTCATGCTAAACATAAAGAGATGAGTCATGCTTGCCAATGAGAAAACCATCCATTGATCTAAAAGTATTAACTTATGCATTCTATGGGTATCACTTTTGTGTTGATTCAGATATAATGTTAAACCTAAATTATGCTCCTCGAATACAAGAAATAGAAAATATATTACAAAAATGGTCAAAACAGTCACTTACCCCATTTGGTAAAATAACAATTATAAAATCTCTAATTATATCAATATTTAATCATCTGTTCCTGTCCATCCCAGGTCCAGATGATGATATGATTCGTCAACTTAATAATAAAATGTATTCATTCAATTGGGATGATAAGCCTGACAAGATAAAGCTGGATCTTCTATGTCAAGATAATTCAGAGGGGACCTAAACAATGATTAATTTCAGAAATTTTATACATGGGTTAAAACTTACTTGGGTTAGAAGATTATTTAAGTCAAAATCTAAATGGATACAATTATTTACCTCAACACAAAATACAGATTTTACAGAGTTGGCTTATATTGCAACCATCAAAATATCAAAAACAAATTTTGGAATGAAGTTTTAATTGCCTGGAAAAATATGTCAACACTCAGACGTCCTTGTCAATTTGAGGAAGTTATTTCGGCGTCTATATGGAATAATGTGCATATTAAAATTGATTAATTACTATAAAAATTGGGCACACTATGGGGTATGGACTGTAAATGACCTGTTAGATGAACATGGAAATATATAGACATATGAAAATTTTGAAAGAATGTATAATTTCACAAGAGTGCACACACTGAAATGTCTCGCCTGCTTTACTAACCATTAATTTTCTGTTGATAGTCCTAAATATAAAGCTTTAACATATGTATCTCATAAACTTAACATTATCCAAGAAAATGAGGTCAAGGTCAGATAAACTAAACCGGAATTACATGTACACCTTACAATCATTCCATACACCAAATATAGTTGACCTATTTCTTATAGTTTCTAAGAAACAAACTTAATCAGGAAAACTTAACATTGACCAATGAACAATCATCGGAAAATGAGGTCAAGATCAGATGAACCATGCCAGACAGACATGTACACCTTACAATCAATCTATGCATTAAATATAGTTGATCTAGTGTTTAGAGTATCTAAGAAACAAACTTAA